ATTTTGAACCTTTTTAGAAGTTAGAGCATTAGAAAAAGTGCTTATTTAATGCTACTTTGTTCAGTGCTGATAATTCGTCGCCTAAGTTCCAGATTTTCGGCCGCCATATTGGTGTACCACAGATGTACAATGACATAGCGTTCTCATATTGGGCTCTGTAAATTTCTGAGAAATATTTTGAGTTTGGGGAAACGCACGAGCCTAAAACTTTGAGAAGTGTCTTATTTAGTTATCTTCTATAACATCACAATTTCTTAGCTTTTTCCACCGGATGGTTTTCGATTTAGTTTTTCATTGAGTGATATCGTCGAAGTAGTTCAGTTTGGCTCTCTGAGCGGAGACCGGAGGGTGTGTTAAAGCCTAGAATTAATTAACCGATACATAAACTATGTTTACATTTGCTGTAAAATTCAAAAAATAGTGTAGACAAAAATGACTGCAAAGGAAAGATTTACTGACCATATTAAAAATTTTTACAACCAAAATCTTATTGCCATTAGTCGGCGCTCACCAATTGACTCGGCAAATTCCGGAAGCCATTGGATTGAGCGGTGTGTCTTGTGCAAATTAATCTTGAAAAGATTTCGGCAATAATATCAGTTATTCACCAAACACATGTAACTAGTCCCTCGAGGTTCCTCAGATTTTGAATTAGCTAGTAGACTGTTTGTAAAAGCTTGCAGCTCGCGATCAAGAGAGTGCTTGGTGCGACCCCGTAACTCGAATTTAAAGCGACTTTGACCATCATCAGTGTTTGCTGTCTTCTCCAAAACACAGTGAAAGGTTTCACAGAACCACTTAAAAGAACCTTTCATGTCAAAACATTACAGAACGTCGACAAAGGAATGTAAATTACAATAGATAAACAGCGAGAAATCAATGCGAAAAAATAATGAGCAAGAAGCTGATTTGTAGGATAGCACTGATTGTCCCTGGATCTGTTGAAAAATATATTGCGAAAAGTCTTCCAATTTTTGCACAGCTAATATTACAGATTGTATTTAAGGAACTTAGAAAATATTGCGCGTCTCCTTGGTTCATCACTGCTCATAATGGTCATAGGTTTGACCGTCGATCTTAAAATTTATACAAATAATGCTAGCTACCAACAGTGTACGTACTCACAATTTCAGTAAACCCTTGAAGATGGAATCCTTCCTGCTGCACACGCTGGGACTTTTCACAGCGTTTCTCCTCGACAGGATTTTCACGAGACCTCCGAACTCGATTCGCTTTCACTAGAATGCTTCAATATGACCATGATATGACTCACTGATTATGCTCACGGCTTGAGAAAATTTGCATAAAACTGACACGAAAAACTAACAGTGTTTCATTAGCCAGCTGGATCGTTATAACTTTTTTTCAGGGCGCGTCGTAGATCGGCATCCTGTAAGAACACAGCATTTTTTGTGATTTAGTATAATTAGTTGTTTGAAGTAGGGGACATATCAGTAAAAGTTAAGGTGGTCTTACGACGGATCTCAAATAGCGGGACCGCTGAAATAGATTTGCTGATCTTCAAATTTATTTTCTGAGTTGAGAGTAAATTAAATTAAAGCAATGAGGAGACTCGAGCCGTGAACATTTGACATGTTTTTGTACCGTTTTGTTAGTGACCAAAGAATGAAAGCCCTTCATATCAACAGTCTGAGTGTTTAGTATGTTGTTAATGTAAGTCTCAAACATGCCTATCGTCACCGAAAAAAGGAATAATATATACATGTACAAAAAGAACAAGAAACAAAAAAAAAGTGAAATGTTCACGGTTCAAATGTGCTTACTGTAACTCTATGATGCCCGCCAACAACCTACTGTAAAAGAAAATGAGCCACGACAAATGGAAAGAAGACGGATTTAGTGTCAAGAAAATTAACTGACGGCTGACTGCTGGCTTCTTGCCACCATGAGCTATTGGTGAGTGTTGTTTCCTCATGGCAAACGAGAGCATAACTTAAGGAACAAAAGGAAGAATCCAAATATTAGGATTGCAGCAGACAGACTGACAAACAATAGGAACTCAGTCTGGGTTCCAGGTGACGACTCTATCATCAAACATTTTCGCTCGCACGCGATTGGTGTAAACGCGTCTCGTGACTGCATTTACCCCAGCTAAAACTGGGGAATATCCGAGTGATATTCCCTAATTTTCAAAACTGTGCGTGTTGCAGAAAATATTGGAAAGGTATGATAAACACAATAGACTCCATTTAGCGTGAAAATATGCTAGGATATTTGTCCTTGCACATTGTTTGCTCTTCAAAGCTCATAGTTTTCCGAGAGCGTAAACTGTTCGCTTCTCGGAACAGATAATTTCCGCAGACAAATATTCGAGCGTATTTTCGCGCCAAATGGAGGCTATTGTTTATCTGTATTGCGCAATACGGGGTTATTTGGAGGAATCCCGAGTTCTCGAACTTTAATTAAAAAGTCGTCAAAAATGAAACTAAAATTGGTTGAGGGGTTGCATCGAGAAATCAAGAGAAAAATAACAGTGAAACAAATTCAAGGGTAACCAACCACTTTCGGTTCAAAGTACCGGGAGTTTAAATAAAATGAGGGTTTGACAAATGAGAGATTCTAATGTACAAAGATTTTCTGACCCAATTTTTTGGTCTCCGTCAGGTGCCAGACGTGATTCACCTATCAGATGCATTGTGGGGTTGGAAATTAAACTTCCAAGTAAACTCGAAGCGGTGATCTATTCTTTGCCATTATGCAAAGCTTTTTGGATGACGGAGAATCTCTATTAAAATAATCTGTTAAGAGCTCTACTGACACCTCAGTTAAGTGCGATTTTCCGTCGCTTTGTCGGGTCCGGTCTGCGATGGTTCCTCGGAACATGAACAGCGGTCTGCCTACCACCAACAACCCTGACGAGGACAAAAACGGAGGTGTCTAAAAAGGATTCAAAACCCCTTTTTCTTCGCTTTTTACATCTCTTCAAATTTATGTTCAACTGAAGTGTGTCAGTAGGTTTTCTTCTGGAGCTAACATTCAGTCTCTCACTTCGGTAGAGATCTGAAAACGGTCTGGGTCCGAGAGACTACCATGGAAACGGCTGTACTAATGTGCAGCGGTGAATCGTGTTTTAGACAGAGGGATGCTGGGATACCAAGAAATTCAGCATGGCGGCCGGACCGATCGCCGAACGAAATCAAGGTAATGTATAAAATTTCTGATCCTTTTCAAGTCCTTGAAGTGGAATTGCTTGCTTATGTCACACATAAATCCACTCGAAATGCTCTGTCTTTGTGTTCGTATACCAGTTATAAATCTGTATGCTTCTTTGCCATTCGCTTTGGCTAACGCGAGAGGTAACCATCAGAAACGTTTAGCGATCGTTTGTACACGACACTGACAAAAGACGGTGCTTTGTTACTTTCATTCGATTTACTTTAAGGATTTCCATATACGCTAAGCTCTACCACTTTTCTCACGCGTCCGTGTGCATGTTGTGTACTTAATAGTTTTTTGAATGACAGAAATTGGTTCTGCGATGAGGAAACTTTAGAACTTTACATGCAGTTCGCTAGCGAGTTTATAGTAAGACGCCGAAATGGAACGGTAAAAGTACTGAATGATCCGGTTTCGCCCCATGGCGAGTTCGCCCCCACCGAGTTCGCCCCCACTATAAAATTTCTATTTCATGTTCGCCCCCAACTTTTAATGTTCCTGTTTACGTAGTTGTCATCAGTTATTGAACGTTTTCGAAGAACCATTTCAGTCTATGTATGTTTGATAAGCTTAGATGATTGTTTGCTTGTTCGCGAGCGCATGGCAACAAAGTCCAACGGTTACTGGTCATCTCGCCACGAAGGAGTCTCGCCACCAATGAACTCTCCACCAAGGGAAGTCACCTCGCCACCAATCGAAGTTTCCTCGCCACCAGTAATCTAATGAGGCAGTGGATAAAAGAACGAGGAATAATTTCTATATGCGACTCGATCTGGTTGGGAGCGAACTCGATCAAGTTGAGTCGATGTGGGGGCAAACTTGGTGGGGGCGAACTCGCCATGGAGCAAAACCGGCAGCTACCAAAGTACTCAAATCAAATTTTGCAAAGTCCTTGAATTTGGTAGTGTTATAATGATTTTTTTTTTTTATTAATTCCAAGAATCCCTAAATTTTCCTTAGCTTGAAAATTTTTCATGTAGCCTTAAAATCATTGTATGACATTTGAAGACAGGCCTAAATAGTGCTTTGGTTAGCCTGAATATCACTCAGGTTAGGGTTCAAGTTAACCTGTTTATGGTTAGCTCTCAGTAATTGAAATGAGAATATCAGCAGTTTGCAGCCTGCAACTTTACTTTATATTAATTTACTCTAAGTAAGTAAGTAAGTAAAGACTTTATTTAAAGAGGGTAGCACTAAAATAGTATAAAAATACTAACAAACCAGTGGCCCTCTAAAAATTATGTACAATGCGGATGTAAGTGTGAAGACTCCACATGGATGCCAAAATACATAGCACAGAGCAATACATAAGATGTGTTATCCCTGTTATTCTTCCCCTGTTAGTCTGTTGATCTAGTGAAAAAAGAAAAAAATAATGACCCACATGAATGTGCATTGTAACTCACCAAGAGTACATGTAGTCAGGGCTCGAAAAAAAGCTTGAATTTCAGCTTGCCCTTAAGATTTGTAAGTATTTCTCAAATAAAGCTTGCCCTGGGCAAGTCTTAGTCTGCTCATTTAATGATTTAGTTGGGAGACGACTTGCCTGATCCCTTGCCCACTGGGCAACTGCGAATGAAATGTTACTTGCCCAGACGGAAAATCTACCTGTCCGGGATGACCAGAGGGCACTTTTTCCGAGACATGGTAGTTCAGTGTTTAGAGCGTTTGACTGGTCTACTGAATTGTTTTCTGAGTGTGCTATGCTTGTGACATATAGGTGATAAACATCTCATCGTGATATGATCAAATCAATAATAATGTAATTATTTATTGACTTGGGGCATTTATAATCATTTTCACCAGTAAGGCTATTGGTTTTCACAGACAAGCAAACATTTGTTTCTTTCATACATGTAGATGCCACAATTTATGTTGGAGGATTGGATGAGAAAGTCTCAGAGACTCTTCTGTGGGAACTTTTTCTCCAAGCAGGGCCAGTTGGTAAGTTGAAGTTTTTTGAAAATCCATGTATACAATGTACTGCACACCTTGTTCAGCTGCACTGTCACTGAACAAAAATGTAGCAGTGGACAAAAACTCCCTTTGTCCCACATTTGATTGCCATCACTGGTGATTACTATAAAAGTATTGTACCAATTGAAAGCTCAATACTGTACAGATGCTCGAAAGGTGTTCTTGAAGCTTGGATGCAAAGTAATAATATTTTTGCAAAGAATGACCGATAGTACCATGACTAAATGGGATTTTGCAACAAGATCTTTACTGGTTGTTAGTACGAGATCACAGTGGCCCAATAGTAAGTCCACTGGACTCTGAGCCAAACAGTCTGGGTTTGACCCCTGGCTTTGATCACTGTGTTGTGTTCTTACATGTGGGTGAGACACTTTAATTACTCCCACAATGCCTTTACTCTCACGACGTCCCCGGCCAGGGCTTGAACCTGGACCGCTTGATCTGGAGAGGAGTGCACTAACTATGAGGCCACTGTACAATGTAATTATTATAATACATGTTAAATCACAAATTATTACATGTACATTGTATTGATAATTGGGTTTTGAGCCTCAGAGTTCACACAATAATTATACAAAGAGTTGACATGTGAGACTGTTTAGACTGATTTTGTGTATGCTTTTAGTGAATGTTCACATGCCTAAAGATCGTATAACCCAGCTGCATCAAGGTTATGGGTTCATTGAATTTCTTGGTGAGGAGGATGCTGATTACGCCATCAAAGTGATGAACATGATAAAAGTGTATGGGAAACCAATCAGAGTAAACAAGGTACAGTACATGTACATGTACATGTAGAATCATGAATGTTAGCACTGTGTAAATACATACATGTATGCAGTTATTAAAGATTGTTGAATGCTTGCCATCTGTTTATCCAGAACTTTATGGATGTATCTAGCACAAGAAGCGTACAAATTACTCCAGACATACATGTAGCTGAGAGCAGCTCTCTATGTAGTTTCTCAAGTGCTCTTCAAAACTTCTTTGGAGTAGTGCATCCATAACTCGATACATGCACAGCTGTATGTACTCTATACTGTAAAATGATGAGCTAATTCTAATATAACATAGCCACAGAAATCTTGAATAAGCAAGAATTGGCTTTTATTTGCAATGATGAAATCAAGTTTCTTTTATGCTTTTACTGTATCTGTAAACTCTCTGCTCAGTTTTCATTGTGGTCAGTGTTTTGTGGAGCTACAACTGTAGAAAATCTCCCATTACATGTACAATTAGCCAGTTGGATTTTCAATTGTTGGAGACTAGTTGATGAATGTGTGACAAAGGAAAATTACTATGAAACAAGATACATGTACAAACTTTTAAAAAAGTTTTACACCAAGAATAATTTTTACAAAAACCATCGATTGATAATATTGATAATGTACATGTATGACTCAGTATAGCTGGAATAAGAATTGCAAATAATGAATGAAAACTTTTTGCTGTACTTTACAGTGTACAACACATGTAGAAATATGTGTATGTAAGTGTTAGAAAATAGGTCAAAGAAAATATGCGTGGTGATAGGTTAAAAAACATGTTTCTATAACTAGGCAGTTATTGATGCAATGATGCATCAATGAAGAGAATTCAGATTTTGATGATTGAAGTAAACAAGTTGTTTTCTTTTCTCATTGCAGAATTTTCTAAAATAAACAGAAAACATGTTCTCCATGTTTCTATCGAGTTTTAGTATAAATCTACTAGCATTCTATCACAAATGGCATTCTCTGATTGGCTAGCATGCACGCACTATCTACAACAGAAAAGATAGTGAGTAGCGTAGCAGTGCGCAGTTGTTAACAAAATGACGGCCTCTTCTTTATATTTTTGAGGTGTCTGAAGAGGATTTAAATATAAGTTTTGACTGACTAGTAGATTTACACTGAAACAATTAGATTATTTGATTTGTATGCAAGATAGTTGACTTGGGCTGCACTGGTGTCAACTATCACATGATAGAAATCTCCAACTCATAATCTAATTGTTTAATGGAAACACTAGTGAAAGTTCGCGAGAACTCAAGAAAGCTGTGTAAACACTTGCCTTTCAGCCCATGTTCCCACAGCATTTCTTGTTCTCCCAAACTTCCAGTCATGCTTCTATAACTCAATAGAAACACATTTAATGTCTTCTATTTCTTATATGACGCAAATTATTGTTATGAAATAAAAAAAATAAACTTCAATTTGTCTCATAGACATGTAAGTTAAGGATATTATTTTTGTTGCAAGGTTAATGTATAAACATTGTAGTACACAAATGTACATGCATACATGGCTATGGGTTCTAACTCTACACTCTGTGTTCTTTCTCAGGCATCAGCACACAATAAGAATCTTGATGTTGGTGCAAACATTTTCATTGGAAATCTTGATCCAGAGATTGATGAAAAGCTGCTCTACGACACATTTAGTGCTTTTGGTGTTATTCTCCAAACCCCTAAAGTAAGTAAGCTCTCCCCACTCCCACAGAAAATACATGGATAAATAATTGCATGTGTACTTAAATACATGGATATGAATTACTGAAAGAACTTTAATTTCAATTTTTCTTTCTTTGATAATGATGGTTCCAACCATACTGTCTTTGATCTGAGATAGTGTGTAAATTCTCACAAGTGCATTCCTTGCAGATTATGCGAGATCCCGAGACAGGCAACTCCAAAGGTTTTGCATTCATCAACTTTGCAAGTTTTGATGCCTCTGATGCAGCTATGGAAGCTATGAATGGGCAATACTTGTGTAATCGACCAATTACAATCTCCTATGCATTCAAGAAAGAAGCTAAAGGTGAAAGACATGGCTCTGCAGCAGGTATGTGTGTATGGATATTAATAAAAGCACCTTTGTGTACAGTGCACATGTCTTTCATCTGGGAATTGCATGTATTTGGCAATTGCTCTGCTAAGAGGGAGCATTGAACATTAATGCATAATTGACATTTAGTGATGTGTAATACACTCAGTTACAT